TTAAATTAATTTATTAAACACAAAAATTTAACAACTAGCGATAAAAACAAATTAAAATCTGAATGCAGTCTGCAATGAAATATTTGTTCGAAATGGTGCAATGGAAACACCAGATGTTTCCAATTTAAAGAATAATTTAAATAAAATACTCCAACAGAGACAAGTGATAGTTTTGCGTGATATGTATGCTGTGTCTAACACTTAAGAAGAAATCGATAGCAGAGAAGAACAGATTTATCTCTCATAAAGAATTCTGGGATGTTATTATGAACCTACTTACAACTTTATAGACGGTCCTTGAACATACTGAAGATGTTGAAGGACATTCAAAAATTTAATTTAGGGGTTGTCTATGTATGAAAAGTTGAGTGGCTTGATTTACCAAGGGACAAATTAGAGAATTAGAGTAAATTAGACTCAGAATAAAAGTATATACGTTAATAATAAAAAAACAAAAATAATGCCTTGCATTTATTTCTAATAAGAGAAATTGGTAAATTGCTAACGCTCATTTAAAATACTTGCTCTAATGTTGTATTGATTTACTGCCAAATTAAATATGTTTTCAGGCTTCATAAGGTTCATTACCAAATGATTGTTGACAAATGCACTTGGTTCATTCTTTTACTCAAAAAACACTTCGATGTTTTATTTTATAACCGTCGTCGAACAGCCGATCCAATTTTGATTATACGACTACCTATGTTGATATCCATAGTTTTCTAATTTTGGACCCAAACCAAAAGACAGAGGAACTCCTGGATGAAGAATCGGAAAAAATTTGCTTTCGTGGGGGAGCTTTTGATGGAACTAATCCGCCTTTGCGTTATAGGGAGAGGAAAACCCCGAAAACTTTCTTGGTCAGCCTGACAGCAAGGGGACTCTACCCATTCCATCTACCCCTCAGGATATCTTACGTCAGCGCTGTGCACGGTGCGAGCCTGGTTTGGAATTCGTATCGACCCGCCATCGCTGGGATCGAACCAGGTTCATACTCATTAGAAGGCAAACACTCTATTCTCTGAGCCACCATTGCTCGATATGTATTAATTGAAATAAAATAAGCCATGTAATAAAAAGCAAAATTAATGGAGGAAAATTGAATGAGGAATCAGCTTAGGAATCGCCATTCACAGATGGCAGTATGTAATACTGACGATAATATATACTCCTGGAATTATGATAATTAGTGCAGTTTTCATAAAAATTCTACAATTGGTTTTACGTAGTTTGAGAAAATATTTTTTCCAGTGGTAGCAAAGATAGTGTATTAATATTTTAATGAATTAGAATTAAAATAATTTTTTTCAATCATTACTTATAAATATTTCAACAGAAAAATTAAGGTGAAATAGAGAAATGGTCGTGTTCCAAAATACTTATTAAATTCTAAGAAAAAAATGGGATTCATAATTCTTTGCTTTATTTTATTTTATTTCCCTCTGCCTAATTTGAAATAAAAATCATGCAAGCATACTAAAATCTAATGCAGATTAGTTATGTTAAGAATAGAGTAAAGACAAAAGCAGTTCTGTTTCATTAAACATACTCATACTGATGCTACCGTATTATGTTATTTTTTCTGATTCATTAATTCCCCTAAAAATATCACTTACCTGGTTCTTCCATCAAGTTCTTTAATTATGTCGGCATATGCCTCTCGGTTTAGAGCATAATTTCGTAGTGTTTCTCAGTGCTGTTTTATTGATTCTATGCCTTTTTTTATTCACCCCGGGCGAAGAACGAATATCCGCTAGTTATTAAATTAAATAATAAAATTTTTTTAAATTTTTGTTTTGCAAGAAAATTTTCTTTGGATAAACGAGTTATACAATTCTGCATAAAAATGTCTAAAATTTCTTTAATAATTTCTTAGATATGGTAAAATATTCAAAAAAGCAATTGCTATTAAGCGCTCTCTTGCCAAACCTACTAGAANTGAGCATCTTTATTATGCTTCATCAAACTGTATTGAAAACATTTTGTCACGCAACATCGAGAAAAGCTGACACTACATTTTCAGCTGTATCACCAATTCGAGGAGCAACAGTATCGTTTGAAAGAGGACGGTAATTCTTTTGAAAAATTAACTCCAAACATAGTTTCTGCAATCTCAATTGCTTCTGGCTTTTACTTTACTTTTGTTTTGGCAGTTAGTTAAAAATAAGATAGAATTCAAAATACTCAATATACATTATTGTTGTATACATTCTACTGTAAGTGGGGGGCGCGATGAAAATTATGATTGCAAACTGGGTCGCGAATACTGAAAGGTTGAGAACCGCTGGCTTAAAGAGTTTTAGAGATACGGTGAAATACGCAAAAAGTAAAATCAACATTAAGGGGTGCAAACCTTAGACCACTCTCTTGACCAGAATATCAGAACCACATTTCCTAGATTTCGGCTACCCCTTATATTTTAGGGGTCAGAAATCTGAATATAGCATAAAATTTAAGTGTTTATTCAGAGAAAGTAAGTTTTTGTGTCAGATTTCGTAACGTAAGATATCATTTGCACTATTTAATTTGTCACCTCAGGTAGATTTTTTTTCGATCCTCCCCATTATAATGCATTATATAAACGTCTGTATTACTACTTAAAAATCATATGAATGCTTTTTTTTTATTAAATATTTACATAGTAGTAGCTAATGCCAGAAAATACCAAATTAGTTTAATCCTCTATAATATGAACACTTAATTCCCTGCAAGTGTCCTATTTCTTTTTTCATTATTGCACTTTTAATATACACCGAAGAGTCATTACATTATGACCACCCTGCTAATAGCATGTAGGACCACCTTTAGCCCTCAAAACTACTAGCACCCACCGTGGCATTGATTCCACAAGGTGCTGATAGGTAGTCTGAAGTATCTGATACCAAGCACTCACCAACTGGTCCTGCAATTCCCTTACATTGCGAGGGGGTAGCGTGGCAGCACGAATTTGGTTTTCCAAGTAGGACCACAAATGCTCTATTGGATTAAGGTCAGGTGAATTTGGGGGCCAAGACATGACTTGAAAGTCACTGGAATGTTCCTCGACGATTCAACCCTTATGACATGTTGCATTATCCTGTTGATAAACACCATCCCTCGCAGGAAAAACTGTTGCTATGAATGGGTGAACCTGGTCTGCAACTATGTTCAAGTAGCTTACAAACGTCAGGGTATTCTATGAGTATTATGGGTCCTAATGTGCCCCATGAAAACATTGTCCCTGGGCGAGAAACCATGAAAACCTGGGCGAGCCCATTGCTAGATGGAGGGTGGTCATAATGTAATGGCTCTTCCCTGTATATGTTTTATTTAGATACCATTGTTAGTTAAAAAGCAGAGTCTAAACATTTCTTTTAATATACTTACATTTTCAAAATATGTAAAGTTTTATATATATGTTTAGAATATATATGTTTTATTTCGAGGCCGTTGTTACGAGTTAAAATGCAGAGTCTAAACTTTTTTTTTAATGTAGCTGCATTTTTAGAATATGTATAAAAGAAGCACACTATAAAAATTTCCGGATTAAATTACAATATAATGAACCGGCATCTTGGGTACATCATCGGCAAAATCTATTTTAGCATGAAATCTTTTTTGCCATAAAATCCATTTTATAATAAAATATGGCATCATAATTTTTACTGTAACAAGCCCATTGTTATAGATGGAGGGTCGTCATAATGTAATGGCTCTTCGGTGTATAAAAAAAATGATGCAAAAATGTATAGAAACAACTTAATGTGAATGAGCTAAATATTATGACAACTTTCACAGATTTTTTAAAAAGTGGTTGCAGCATTTATTTGTTCATTTATTTTTTACTTTTTAAATTCTGGGAAATATAAATTAAAAAAAATTAATGATATCTTGTCATTTAAACATAAATATTATCCTGATAACTCTATAGTCCTGGTAATTTATCCTAATAACTTTATAATTTCATTTTTGATATTTATAATGGAAAACGAGACATTTGTGTTCCCCATTATATATTAATAATAAAATTATTCATATATAATATCCACATTTAATTAAATATCTAAAGCGGTAGCCAATACCAGGAAATATCAAATTAATCTAAGTATAAATGTTCCTAATGTTTTTTTAAAATGATGTCAAAAATACTCTCAACATAACTACAGAATGTTGTGTTTTAGCAAGAGTAATCTGGAATGCGCTAAATGGAATATAATTAAATTGTTAAGACAAGTTTCACAATACGTAATGATGCTTGACTAAGCAGCTAAGTATAATAGTAAATCATTCCCTTCAACGACTAGGGGAGTCATGGAGGTTACGGCTTCAAACGGCATGATTGTGGGATTGTGCAAATACTGTTATCAGAATTCACAGACCGTCTTTACTTTCGAGACAAGCTAGTACCCACTGATATTTGTGGGTTTAAAGTCACTACTGGGGATCGAACCCCAAACTATCACAATGACAGTTCAATCCCTTAAACACTGAGCTATCGCAGCTCAAGTACATTAGTGTTGCTCTTTAATAATCCAGCATCCCGCAGTGGACTCATTATAAAGACACGATTGCCAGTAGAGCACCGAAGTCAAGCATCACTGACTTCGGTCAGTAAGCGGATGGGTGACCACTTTGATCAGTCTGCATAGGGATCGAGGGTGCACGGTATGGGTCCTCATTGAACTGTTCTACCGTAAAGTGCTCGACTTCACTCGCAGGTCGTCGGGTTACCAAAGCAGGAGAGCCATCCCCTCCGCAGAGGATCAAAATTGCGATGGCAGGTCTTCGGATCATCTTCAAGGATATCTTCATCACATCAGATATCTTCTGTGTTTCCTAGACCATCGCTAATAGCCCATTGTGCAGCTCTAGTGCGACGTAAATAAAGTACCTATCTATCTAATAATGCGGCACATTAATTATTCCTAGATAACTTTGTTTATCTTTAATGGAAAGGATTTAAACCTTCTTTACTTTCCTTTAAGTACTCTTTTGAATAAATATTTTTTTTTTCATTATAGGAACTATCGTGTTTGCTGTTCATCAATTTAAGTTCAGCTCTTCGCGGGGGAAAAATAAAGACAGACAGAAAAAAAGGGTTACGAATTTTACCCCTGAGTATATTGATGAGACATTTGCGGGAAACACATATATTCACAATAATATATTTCTTCCGAACGTAAGTATTTTTTTTATATTTATACTTATTAATAGTTCTATAGTTCCTTTCGAACAAATAATCGTGAAGACATAAATTCGACATTAAATTTTTATTTACGTATTTTAAATCTGTGCAAAAACTTGAACATAACATCAATCTCAGCTTTTTCGTCAATCTTTACTAGCAATCCTTAGATAATTTATAATAAGATCATTTATTTTATAAAGCGATACTATAACTGAGATATTAAATATCTTATGCATGAAACTATAGAGAAAAGTGAAATACATTAAAAAAATTAAAAAAAAACTCATATCTTGAAAATAAATAGTAAATCACATGACTGAGATGCTAGAAACATAGATTATGGAATATGACAGCAATCTCTCTCTTTTTCTTAAATACTTTGCGTAGGGACCGACGGTGTGCGGTATTGGTCCTCGTTAAACTGTTCTACCGTAAAGTGCTCGACTTCGCGTGCAGTTCATCGGGCTACAGAAACGGGGGTACCATCCCCTCTGCAGAGGATCAAAATTGTGATGGCATGTCTTCGGATCATCCTCAAAGGTGCTTCTCAAAGCGTCGCCAATAGCCCATCGAGCAGCTCTAGTGTGACGTAAATTAACTACAACTACAACAACTTAAATTTAATCAGTATTGAAATTTAAAATAAGATATTCTCCATTGCTTTTAAAATAGTTTTATAATTAACTTCTGAAACATTTTATGTGTTATTATATATCAGGATGTTTTTTACATTAAATGATTTTTTAAAAATATTATTTCAACAATATATCATTTTATTAAAGTTTGTGTTTCGACCGTTAAAATACGTATCGTTTGAGTTTTTAGACTTTATTCCTTTTTTGAAAGATAAAAGTTCTTTGTGTTACAAACAAAACACAACATGTACAGCAAATAAATATTTTATAACATCTTTCTAACAGTCTACATCGAACTGAGTGAATCATGAGAGCCATAGACCGCAGCACTACTTTGATACAGTCCACAAAAAAGGTTTACTGTTTAGTATCTACTATAAATTTTTTTTAGAATTTTATTTTTTATTTTTTATTGTTGAGAATTCTAAATTCTTGAGAAGGCCAAGGTCCACCCTGGGCTGTCGAGTCATCGATGATGATGATGATGATGATTTTTTATTGTACTTAAAACCAAAAAGCAACTATTGAAACCTATGTAACTGTAATCGTGTTAATCTAACCGTGATAATCACGATTATACTTCCTTTAAACTTATAGTTTCATTCACTGCGTTTTTAATTAAGTATAGTATTTTTCCTTTAGTATCGTTTAGTATCGTTTTAGTATCGTTTTTAGTATAGTTTTCTGTTTAGTATCTACCATAATTTTTTTTAGAATTTTATTTTTTATTGTTGAGAACTCTAACTTCTTGAGAAGGTCAAAGTCCACCCTAGGCTGTCGAGTCATTGATGATGGTGATGATGATGATTTTTTATTGTACTTAAAACCAAAAAGCAACTATTGAAACCTGTGTAACTGTAATCGTGTTAATGTAACCGTGATACTCTCGATTATACTTAATTTAAACTTATGGTTTCCTTCACAGCGTTTTTAATTGAGTATAATATTTTTCACATTTTTTTAGTATGCATTTTTACACCTAATTAATATATCTATATCTAATTCTAATTTATCGCTTTCAGCCACAGAATCTTGAAGATAGAGATTCTCCCGAACTGGACACTTCATTTTCAGTGGACAGTGAAGAAACGATGCCGATGCCGAACCATCCATCCACATCCAGTTACCAGCGAAATAACCCCATCAGAACTAACACACGTCAAAATGGCGGGGAATAAATAAATAAACGAGGTTATTTTGGCGATCGTTCATCATGCATCGTTGCGTTATTGCTCACGATAAGTCTGGGATAATTTATCCCGCTGCTTTAATTCGGCTACATCTGATTTTTTCACGTGTTGCCATCCATCCGATGGTATATTGTTTCCTTAGTTTGCTGTAAAACGATATTTTTGGAGGCGAGAATATCTTGACCTACTGCAAACGATAATTTTAAATAAGTGTTTCGCGTGCTAGTGAGAATTCAAAAACATGCAACCATTTTGAAAATGGCGTGCAAAAAAAAAAAAGGAATTTTAGTGTTTATAGGTTGCAAGTTATTAAAAATTGATGTTTCTTCGATATGGAATGGAAATGTCTTTGAATAGCTTTATTGTGTTGTTTTCTTTTTTTCAATAAAGTAATATTATTTTTAGATGTGTTTTTATTTGCAAATGAAAAATGTATTTAAATATTACAGTCTCTTAATATAAAGAATTTTATTTTTGAATTATGATAAAACCATGCGCAATTTCAAAATAGCGTTGGTGTATTTTTAAAACAACAATTTAAAATTCGTAAACGATTCTGTACATGAATTTTGTATTTCTCTTTTTTTAATTCTTGAAGTGAATTTCTATTCATTGTAAGGAAATCAAAGCAAAATATTTCAAGGGGGTTTGTGGCTAAAAATGTAAGAAAATATTATGGATTTGTTTCGTTATTAAATTAGATGAATGCTCGGAAAAAAATGAATTAATAGTCAACAAAATTACGATATCAGACACAAAACTTTAATTCCTATGAAAACACACTTAATAGATCTAAGAAAACTCCAATTTTTTTATTTGTTAACATATTTTGTCCTTCCCGGTGACTTCGCGTTATTAGATTAAGCAAAACACATTTTTAGCAGATCATCCCATCAAAATAAAGGTAAGTGTTTTCAGTATCATTCTTGATAGTCAAAATTTACCACAGTCAAGCAATTTTCTTCGGTACTTATTCCTTTACAGGAGAGTAAGAACTTCTCTCCGTACCATCTATATTAAAACTGTACTGTATTGATGCAGTTTTTATCTTAATCAAATATATAAACTTAAGACATTGTTCCTATATTAGTATATTTGGTTCCTATTAAACGTGCACCAGTTTTCATAGTACCAATAGTTCCCATTACCAAAATTAATTAATCATTTTTGGCCTAAAAAAACGACTAATTTTTACTATTCTGTAAAATTAAATGAATAAGTATCATTGCTCCATTAATTTTGTTTCATTTAGTACTGTTAGTAAAATTTTTTTTGCTTCAAATACCAGTTGCAAGCGAAATTATTTAAGCATCATTGGCTTTAGTACTGTCGTGCAATTGAAAATTAATATAAACGACAAAAAATTCAGAATTGAGATTTTAATATATTTGGCATCTTTGTATAGTAAGCTATATATTTTTATAAAAGCTATATTGTAAGCAAAAATTTTAAAAAAAAATTCTTTTATCAGTTTTTTGCAACTCTATTTTAGAGCTCATAGCATCAGCAATAGAAGGAAAATAGTTGTCTAGCCACTTTTCTTGGAATCAATGGTGGAGCACTTCTGTTGTTTTTTGAATTACCCGACAGAAAAACAGATTGGCATTTTTTTACAAACCTCTACCATTTCTACATTAATTTTTCTTTTTAATACATAGATTATTATTTTTTATTTAAATTAGCACCTATTACCAAAGTTGATCATGCATCATTGTCAGTAATAGCATAACTATATTTTTCTTTTTCTTCCAATCGAATATGTACGATTTCTCCAACAATTTCGATTTTCTGTCCGTAACCTATTTTTTTTATATCAAAATTTAATTGATTTTAAATTATTTAGTTTCCTAGAAACATCTTTTTAAAGCTTATCAATAAACTAATTGTAAATGCAGTTTCAGATAACTTCAGGAATACTAATTTGGAGACGTAGTTCATATATGCTACCACGTCTCCGTTGATCAATGAGTTCATCTAACACAACGAATAGAAATATATTAAATATTAAGGAACGTGCAATAAACTCTTTTTTCAATTAATAAGAGCAATAAGCTAGCAAATATATTGTCGTATAAAAAAGTTGTTGGGCATTTATTCTTTAACTCAATGGTAATGTTCTACATAAAAGAGACATGGTATATTTGGTACTAAAGAACGTGTGCAGTGCACACAAAAAAAACTGACCACCCCGAATTACCTTTTGATCTAATGATCGAATCTTCCCGTTCTAGGACTCATTCTTAAAGGTTTAAAGGGCTGATTTCAAATATGCTAATTAATTAGGGCAGACGATATTTTCAGTAGCGAAATGAGACATAAACACATACATTCTCTGAATAAACATACCTTTTCTAAGATGAATTTGGATTTCTGACCCTCAAAATAATAAGGGCTAGCTGCAATCTGGGTCCCAAGAGATTGTCATTAGGGCAGTAAAAGTTAGGACCCCTTAATGCTAATTTCACTTTTTGCGTATGAAGTAAATTAATAACTTTCAATAAAATAAGTATATTTTTCTCACCTTAGATATTAATTTATTCCATTTCAAGTCTTTGATTGATTATGTGTTTTGCATTCAAATCCCTTAAATTAGTTTTAGTTGCGTTATTTACAAAACGTAAAATTGATAAGGATAATTTTATCGTCTTATTTAATTTTATCATTTGTTGTTTTGAGTCATGATCTAGTTCCTAAAATTTATTTCAGTTACTATTTATAACTTTAACTTCTGTTGCTGCATGATTTTATCTCTTTAATGGGAAAATGTATCATTTTTTCTTGCCCCCTTATTACCCAATAGTTATCAGAGAGTTTATATGTGTCATAACTTAACAATCAATTTCTAACACTTTGTATGCAGGACGCGTGTGCGTAAGTTAGGTATATTTATAAAAAGAAACTCATGTGAATATGACTCTTAATTTAACTGTCTTTTTGTCGATAGAAGATCTCAATCTGCATTAGTACTAATATTGTTATTATTATCTAATTAGTTAATGTTGTCTCGAGGGACTATGAGTTATAATTTAGCAGTGATTCTATACGAGTTTCTAGACTGAACACTGCGTTAATTATATTAATTAAAATACTCTCCAGTTCCCAGATTTCGGATACCCTTTATATTTTAGGGGTCATAAATCCGAATCCATCATAAAATTTATGTGTTTATTCAGAGAAAATACGTTTTTGTGTCAGATTTCGTAACGTAAAGTATCGTCAGCACTAACTAATTTGTCACCTCTGTTAGATTTTGTTTCAATCCTCCCCATTATAATACATTATATAAACTTCTGTATTACTACTTAAAAAATCATATGAATTTTTTTAATTAAATATTTACATAGTAGTAGCTAATGCAGGAAAATACCCAATCAGTTTAATCCTCTATAATATAATCACTCCAGTGAACATAATTCATAATACCCTAACTATTGCAAGATAAAATATTAATTAATTAATACAATAAAAATATTAATTAATACAATCAGAAATGAATTAGTGTGATAATTTAACAATGGATTTTGAACACTTTCTCCATGGGGAACAAGTTCATAAGTTACGTTAGCGTTAAGATTATTAATTACTATTAATAGTATTATTTAATAAATTAATGCAGTTTCAAGAGACTATAAGGCATAAATTATATTCATTTGTGTTATATTCATTAGGCATAAATTATATTCTTGTCTAAATTACATTCATGTAAATACTCTCGAGTGAATATTAGTCATAATAAAATCCTCATTAAAAAGAAAAACACACAACTATTAGTCCAGTCTGCTTATGAATATGATTCCCCATTATTCGAAAATAAACTGTTTTCAGAATGCGTAAATTACATTAATTAAGAGAGTCAAAAGCGAATATGAGTCATTTAGTAGTTATTCCTTAATACTTCTTTGATAGCACAAGAGTGAATTAATTACATTAATTAAAAGAATCAAGAGTGAATGTGACTCATAATTTAACACTCATTAAAAAAACGCACAATTATAGTTCAACCTGCTTATGAATATGATTTCCCATTTTTTGAAAAGAAATTGTTTTCAGAGTGCGTAAATTACATTAATTAAAAGAATCAAGAGTGAATGCGAGTCATAATTTATCACTCATTAAAAAAACGCACAACTATAGTTCAACCTGCTTATAAAAATGATTTCCCATTATTTGAAAAGAAATTGTTTTCAGAGTGCGTAAATTACATTAATTAAAAGAGTCAAGAGTGAATATGAGTTATAATTTATCAGTAGTCTATTAACACTTCCTTGACAGCATAAAAGTTCACTAATTATATTAATAAAAAGAGTTTTGAATGTGTTTGAGTCATTGTTTAATGGACATTTCAAAACACGCATAACTTAAGTTCAATCTGCTAACTAATATGGTCCTCCATTATTTGAAAAGAATCTGTATTCTTAAAATATTAACAGACTAGTATCTTCAATTAAATTATTTTAGTATACTAGATACATTAAATGTTAACACACAAGAGATTCTGATAATAAAAATAAAAGCATTCTATAATGAATTTAAAATTATCAAAATTCAAAACGTCAATAGAATGCTTTTATTTATTCTAGTTTATCCTTTCTCAGTATTTAGCGATCAATATTTAAAGTGGCTCTAATGTATAAGCACTATTTTATCACTGTTTGAAGAAAAAAAAAAGATTGGAATTGATTAAAATTCTTTGTTCATTACAATGAAGACAAATTAAAAAAGAATAGAAGTTTAAACTTAAAAAGAATCCCCAATTGAAGTTCAACTTTTGTTTTTCGTTCTCATTAAGACGTATTCTCCTTAGCGATGTCAACGTAGATATTAAGATATTTTGCAGTCTAAAAGCTAATCTAGAAAATGTAAATAAAATGCTAAGTTAGAATAAAAATAGTTAAATTGCTTTTCTTTGATTAATGACGTGTTAAATTTCTCTAAGAAGTAATTTTAATCATGCACTGAAAAAAAATTTAAATTCATTATAAATTTTTCTGCGACGTTAAAAGCATAGAAAGTTAATACTTTCTATGTTTTTGAAATTCTTATGCAAGAAATTATCAATTTTCTATGGGAACTTAAGTTCTTTTATATGTAAAAATTGCACAAATGCAAATGTAAAAATGTGTTTAAATTTTAAGTATTGCCTTAAAATGTACATTTCATATAAATTATTTCTTTGGCTTTATGACTAGTAAAATGGACAATTTTTTTGTAGTTGTTGCAGTTTTTAATGATGTAATGGATAAGTCAGGCTCGCCAGCTATTGGCCTTGTGAATTATGCTACGCCACCGCAAGGGTGAAAGTACATTTTTATCAGAATCCTAGGGAGAGATGGCAGCACCAGTCATTCACAAGGCCAATTTCTCAATTTAGACACTGATCTGAAGTGGAAGGAGATTGTCTCCA